GGTGGGAAATTTCACTGATGAATACTTATGGTTGTGTTCCGGGGGCTCAGAAATGAGACCCTGTATATTGAAAGACTGGTCAATGTCTTACAAATGACAGAATTCATTTTCTGTACTGTAAACTTCTTGCAGAACTAGGCTGCAGTGCAAGAGACAAGTTAAAACACGGCCCCTTTGCATTCAGAACCCCTCCTGCCAAAAGGCAAGTGAAGAAGCAGATCATTGGCCTTGGAGGCAGCGTCATTGACCACATGCAGCTCACTGGGTTCACTGGTCTGCAGCTGCTAGTAGGTAACAGTCCAGATGGGAAGAGGAAACTCAGCCAGGCTAAAATACGGGATGATTCCTAGCAACCTGTGGTTAGAGTTTCACTCTGCCTTCAGTGGATTGCCTGGGGGTGGGGAACATTTTTTGGGGGGAGGGAGAAGGGTGTTAGTGCTTCCTGGACTATCAGCCAGCAGGGCAGATCACTGAAGCCTGTGGCTAGGGAGGGTGGGTATAGCTGAGTTTTTATAAAAGTCAACTTGGTGACCTAAAAGTTTAAGAAAAAACATTTTGGGAAAGAGAGTTTACTGATGGGACTAAATGGGCCACATAATCACTAAATAGAGGGGCAGAAAGTGGAAAGCTTCTACTAACGGGCTGGCTCCTCTAATCCAAATTGCCTCTTCAGATTGCAAAAATAGCAGATTTTTTTTTTCTGTGAAAATATCATTAGAGGAATCAGTACTGTGGCCTAAGCGCCAAAGTCTACACTGATTGCTTTTTTTCAGGGATCCAAGTCTATCCAGCAGCCTGAGATGCCTTCCAATGAATAACACGGTACAAAAAGCCATCTTCAACCTACTTGCCATATTCCAGGAGCCTCTTTGTGGAATAGGCTGGGGTGTGAGGGAGGGGGATGTGGGGGGTGCTGTACGTTTAATATAGGAGGGCTGGGCTTGGGAGCTTTTAGCATTCTGAACACCTGGTATTTCCAAACAACAGACATAATGCTACAGTAATCGAGATGGTGCGGTCCTGGCAAAAGAACAGACAGACCAATGGAACAGAACAGAAACCCAGAAAAAGACTCCCATAAATATAGTCAGCCCATCTTTGCATTGCAAACGACAACGTCAAGAGAATGAGAAGACAGGCCACAGGCTGGATGAAAATCCTTGCAAATGACAATACCTGATAAAGGACTGTTCTTCAAAATGTATGAAGGGCTCCTCAGACTTAGGAAGGAAATAAGCAACCTGACCTTAAAAGTGGGCCAAAGGTCTCAACAGACACCTCACCAAAGAAAATATACAGGTGTCAACTAAACAATGAAAAGATGCTCTGTCCTTAGGTCATCAGGAAAATGCAAATTAAAGCAACAAGAGACAACCACGTTAGAATGGCCCGAACCAGAACGCCGACAACAAATGAATGCCGATGCAGGCGTGGTGGAATGCAAAATGGTCCCACCGTTTTGGAAGACAGCTTGGTGGTTTCTTACAAAACTAAACATAGTCTGGGTGCACTGGGTGAAAGTGGTCAAAAGGTACCAAGTTCCAGCTACAAAATAACTCACTCCTGGGGATGTAACATCGGCATGGTGACGACAGCTAATACTGTTGTATATTTAAAAGTTGCTAAAAGAGTGGATCCTAAAAGTTCTCATTATGAGGGGGAAAAAAGTGGAACTATATGAGGTTATGGATGTTAGCTAGACTTATTGTGGTGATCATTTCACAATGCATGCACGCCTCAAATCATTATGTTGTACACCTGGAACTAATACAATGCTGTATGTCAACTGTAGCTCAATAAACAAACAAGCCTACTCTTACCACGGGACCCGCAATTATGCTCCTTAGATTTACCCAAAGCAGTTGGAAACTTATGTTCAGACAAAAAACCTGCACGCGGATGTTTATAGCAGCTTTATTCATAATTGCCCAAACTTGGAAGCAACCAAGATGTCCTCCAGCAAGTGCATGGGTAATAAACAAACTGGTACATCCAGACAATGGAAATATTATTCTGCGCTAAGAAATGAGCTGTCAGTCGTGAAAAGATGTGGGGGAAAGTTAAATGCATGTTCCTAAGTGAAAGAAACCCATCGGAAAAGGCTGCATGCCGTTGGATCCAAGGACATGAGATTCTGGAAAAGGCAAAACTACGGAAACAGTAAAAAGACCAGTGGTTTCAGATCATAGGCAGATCTCAGAGGGTTTTTAGGGCAGTGAAAATTCTTTATAATGATGGATATGTGTCATATACTTGTCCAAATCCATAGGAAGTACACCACCAAGAAAGAATCCTAAGGTAAACTATGGACTTTAGATGATTATGATGTGTCTGTGTAGGTTCATCTTTGGTTAAAAAAAATTTTTTTAAAGTATCACTCTGAAAAGTGATGTTGATCATGGAGGGAGGGAGTTTTGGATGTGTTTGGGCAGGGAGTAATCTTCCTTCCTCTCAATTTTTTTTTTCTCAATGAATTTAATTCTTTGAATTTACTTTTTAAAGGATGTTCTGAAGTGGCTTTTTTGCTTTTCTATGAATTACCAGCAATAGGTTGTGGATCACAGAGGCTGTGTTCTCCCGGGGAATGGGTTGCACACAGGGAATTATTGAAAGTTTAAAGCCAACTGTGATGTGATCAGATCCGTGCTTCATCAATAACAGAATTGATTAGCTCTGGCCAGGTGGCTCAGTTGGAACATCATGCCATGCTCCAAAAAGGTTTCAGGTTTGATCCCCAGTTAGGGTGAGTATGGGAGGCAACTGATCCATCCCTCTCAATTTTGTTGTAAACCTAAAATTGCTTTAAAAAATTAAGTCGTAAAAAGATGGTATAACAATAAAATGACAAAATCTGTGTGCTTGTTTTATTTTGGTTTTGGTGTGTGTGGTTATTTTTATGATGTTTATATTCTTCCAACAATGTTGTCCCCAATCCCTCGTTTTGTTTTTTGTTTTTCCCCCGATCCTTCTTGAAAGCAGGTGTGGCAAGGCATTCCGTGAGTTAAAATATTGAAAAGCTTCTGCACCAGTTGGTAGATAGCCGTTGCCCAGGCACTCTGAGTGCCAACCACAAGGCTACCAGCTCTTCCCAGAAGGCCCCCCTCCCCCGTTTTCCCACATCTAACAACTCAAGGGTAATGCCTGGTACATCGAGGGCCTCCAGCCTGACCCCTCGACCCTCAACCCTCCAGTCCATGGTCACAATCCATCCTGACTCATCCCATGCCCTGGTGGTTATACCCCTAATACAGGTCATAGGTAATAAACACTTAAGTTTAAAAATCCCCATTGAGCCTGTTCATTCATTGGGTGTGAGCTGGGCTACAGGGCCTCAAACATTCTGTATTCACATGTCTCCGTGGATCCGAGCAGGTAATGGCAATTGTGAAAGAAGAGGGAAGCCCAGTGTGGACTTTTACAGAAGAGCCCACAGAGACAGAGCAAAAGGCCTGGAGCTCAGGCTGTATTAGGGAGGCTCCCAGTTACCACCCACCAGATGCCGAAAAGAAATCTTCATTACTTACCTTCACTGGTCTCCCTGTGACCAGCCTCCTCTGTTCCCTCCCAGGGACCTGGTTGGGGGCGGGTGGGGGGGGGGCGGGAAGATGCTTTAAGTCTTTACTGCTGCCCTTGCATTCCTAGAGATGTTGGGGGGATGAGGAAGAGGTCCTTTAAAATTAATATGTGACAAGTTAAAGAAAACAGAGGTTCTTTAATTACTATGTGACAAATTAAAGAAAACTGTTTCCTGGCTGGTGTTTCCCAGTGGTTAGAGTGTCGGCCTGCGCACCAAACGGTCCTGGGTTCAATTCCCGGTCAAGGGCACGTACCTGGGTTGAAGGTTCACTCCCCATTCCCTTTTGGGGTGCATGTGGGAAGCAACCAGTCAATGTGTCCCCGTCACATGGATCTCTCTCTCTCTCTCTCTCTTTCTCTCTCTTCTCTCCTCACTCCCTTTCAGTCTCTCTAAAAATTAATGGGAAAAAAATCCTTGGGTGAAGATTAACAAAAAAACAGAAAGGAAAACTTTGTGCTAAGGGAGGAAATCCAGAAAAGAGGGTTGGGGGCAGAGATATGGGGTCTCAGGGTCCATCCATCCTAACGATATGGAGAGCAGAGTGCCTGGTACAGCTACTGATAAGATGATGGATTGGGTAGGGTCAAGATGTTTTTTTTAAAGAGTCTTTTCTATTTTCTCAGTGAAATGAGAAGCAAGGCCATTGGTTGAGAGCGAGGAGAGAGAAGGTGGCTTGAGGGGCATTGAGAAGAGAAACAGCCACCTTGGGGTGGAGAGGAGTGAACAGTCTAAAGAAACACGGTAGGATTTCTGGGCAGAGCCGAGGGCTTATGTAACGTGTGTGTTGGTGAATTGAAAGTGGGGCCTATTAGCCGGTTAGGAGGTTTTCTTTTCTCTTTTCCAGCAACATTCAGATGCTCTGGCTCAGGCAGAGGGAAGGCAGTGAGAGCCAGGGGCAGGTGTTGCCACCCGTGTACTACCGAAGGAGAAAAGGGCAGGGGAATTGAATACAAACTAAGGAGCAACGTCGTGCTGGATCACGGAATTTTAGTGGCTGAGGAGAGATTTTTCTAGCGATTTTGTAAAGCAGACTCCACGGTTCAAATCCAGTTCTTCTAAACTGGTAGCCCATGCTGATTCCTTCATGGCCATGTTTCTCAAAAGAATCATATGGGGACTATGTCATCAGTGTAGATTTTTGGACCATCCTCACAAATTCTGGGGTACAGCATTTTTCTTTGTAATAAGTACCAGGTGATACCGATGTGGGGGGTCTGTGGACCATTCTATGAAAAATACTGAATTGTAGTTGTTTTAGGTAAAAGCATTTGAGGGTAGATTTAGGGGAAAGGGACTGGGTTACCCACATAATTGCTTACACTGTGCATTTCACAGCCACGAAATAATGATATTCCAAATATTGGGGTTCTGAAGCAGATAATAAAACCAAAACTAAGCCCCTTAGGAGTAATGATGCAATGGCTAAGGCCATACATTCAGTCACTTTATTTTTTCCACCTCCGTTAGGTTTCCTGGACAAACACAGATATGACGCTGAAGTTTGAATCCGAAGGCCAGTTTAGCATGGCTTGACATCCCAGGCGTCCGTTTTCCAGAAGGCCAGGGAACTGTGTTCTGTTTGGGGGGAGAACATTCTGTGAGAAACAACCATTTCTTAAATGTGTTAAGTGGCTAAGACAAATCAAGTACATTTTATAAACGTGCAGAATAAATTGAATTAAATGAACAAAACCATTGAGCGTGAGGTTTCTGTGACATGAAAAAGCATCAGGGAAATGATAAGGTGGTCATTTCCAGGAGAGAAAATAAAAGGTTCTTTCGCTCTGAGAGTCAAGATTAAGATTTGGGAAAGAATTACCCCTTTATTTATTCTCCAATGCACTAACTGTGCAGCATCTGTCTCAAGACTGGAAGGGAGACTGGCCTGAAGGAATATCTGGACAAAGCCCTGTTTGTTTGTTTGTTTGTTAATTTTCCTCTTCTAACCTTTATTCTTTTGTATTGATTTGTATCAGGCTTGTGGTGCTTTGTCAGTTGGGTATTTAACATCTTACCAGCGCTCTGCTGTATTGTGAAGAGTAATGATTTGCCCTGGCCCGTGTGGCTCAGTTGGTTGGGCGTTGTCACAAGCACCAAGAGGTCTGACCATTTCCAGCCAGACCACATACCCAGGTTATGGGCTCAATGCCCAGTAGGGGGCATGCGGGAGGCAGCAAACGATGTTTTTCTTTCTCCCTTCCTCTCTCTAAAATCAATTTTAAAAAGTGGTTTTTTAGAAAACACACACACAACCATTTATTCAGTGCATTTCTAACTCTTTGTAAGGATAATAACTGTGATTGGTTGAGCACTTTGTATTAAATGTCATGCATGATGTTTCTAATCATCAAACCTATGAGGTGGATATTATCTACTAGTTATCATTCCCTCTGTCTCTCGAACTCGCCACTTCTCAGACCTCTCTCCTCTTC